TGGAAGAGGGAAGACGGTATACACCCAGATTGGTGGATCCAATCACGGCCGAGCAATATGTTGTAGTCGACGCTGGACTCGACTATGTAGAAGGCCACGACTCTTGTCTGGTCGGCCACGGTAATTTTTAATGGCAACACGCCGATGGTTTTAGACTTATCGCCGACAAAGCTGCTCATGACCACGTCGCTAGGGATGAGGTCCTCCTTTGACTTGTCCAGCTTCCTCATCAAGGAATGAGGAAGGATGTTGACCGTTGCCCCGCAGTCAACGAAAACTTTGGATACGGGCACACCTTCTATATGAGCCGAGATGTATAATGGCTTAAGGTGTCGGTATTTGTTCGGCTCGTCTCTAGGTATTACTTCGTTAAACGCCACGGCCAATAACTCTTCCTTTGTCTTTGGCCTCTGATCAAGCTGCTCCTAGGCGACGTCATCATCCAGGCCGTTGGTCTGTCCTCCTGGGGCTAAAAACTCGGATGGTAATACCAGGACCATGTTAATGCCGACCTCCTTAGGCTCCTGCGGGTTTCCCCTTCCAGCTTCCTCTCCGGCCACGCGGCCGTCTTTGGCGAGAACTTTTTCCTTGACCATTCCGAGGATTCCCTCATATTCTTCGTCGGAGATTCCTAAGGTGAGATCATCTTCGGCCTCATGTCCGAAGAGAGGATCACCGAAACCCTCGATCATAGGCCTTGCGGTCCCCGGGGAACCAGCCGTGGATGCTTTGATCTCAGGGGGGTTCGAGGCTTCGACCTCCTCCTTGAGGGCCCGTTTAGCCTTTGCCAGCGCGTCCCTGGCCGCTAAGTAATCGTCTAAGCGGCTTACCCGGGCCTTTTCCTCGGTCGTCAAGCCAAAGACAGTGTCCGCCGGAGTCACAGTAAAGTACTAGCAGAGATATTCTAAATCGCCCTTGCTGAAGGGGGCTTTAGCCTCTGATCCGCCAAGTCGGATTGGTAACTTGGCAGACCTCTCGCTCTGGCTTCCCTGTTTGCTTGGTATACGGCCTTAATGGCCGAGTCAGAACTGCTAGTGATGAGGAGCCCTTCTGCCTTTGTGTTCTTGAGGGTCAACTCCACGATTTCGCGGCTCTCAGGGGTCATGCCGTATAGGTCCGTGGCCGAGTGG